GAAGAAGAAGAAGAAGAAAAAGGCGTCTGAATTGCGCATGCGTACTATTCATTCGTCCGACAGCAGCAGCCAGTAAACATGGCTGGTGTTGGTTTCCGACAGTGGGCCAAGGCTATTGCAAAGGGCAGAGGTTCTGGCCTCTCAGCCCTTGTATCTGGAAGTAGGGCAGGTAGGTCGTGTTTAACGGTTGTTGCTAAGCTTTCTGGTAGCTTTCTTCATAAATATTTGTCGTGGTATTTACTTATAAGCTTCTCGTTAACGTAACCTTGACCAGCGAACTTTAGCTCAGGCTAACTGGAAGGCAGCGGTTGTTCTGAAAGATGCAGCAGGTCTCCTGATGTTTTCGGCAGGGTTGGAAGTCACTTGTTGATATTTTCACCAATTCTTGTTGTTTAGCCTCCAGTGTGACAAAGGACAGCCTGCCTGGTCCCTTCCCGAAGACCCCAGAGGAGAGAGCTGCTGCTGCAAAGAAGTACAATTTGAGGATTGAGGATTATGAACCTTATCCAGATAATGGAGAAGGGTGAGCTTGAGTGCTTTAAAATTGAATAATTTTGTGGCATTCCATTATGTTTTATTTAAAGTATTGCTCTTTTAGTTAACGTTTGACAGTAATTTGGTTTTACTTCCTCCAAAGCTATGGTGATTACCCCAAACTACCAGACAGGTCCCAACATGAGAGAGACCCCTGGTACCAGTGGGACCATCCTGACCTGAGAAGAAACTGGGGAGAGCCCGTAAGATTTGCATGCCATTTACTGTTTTTAAAAAATTACTCATTATCAATATTTTATGTGCTTTAGTTACATTGATTACTATTAATTTAGCTTATCTTAATAAAAGCGTGTCTGCAATAATGCAGCTTCAACACTTGGTGTTGAGGAAGATATCAATAAAAAGTAAACTCCTATAACTTTAAATTTTAAGCTTAAAAGCATAGTTCAAGTTTTTGGCCATGAAGTTGACTGTTCACTGTAGCTGAGATGTACCTGTAGCTGTGTCCAAATGTCAGCCCTAATCACTATATACTGGTTATGACATTTTAAATGAGTGTCTGAACATGTAGTGGATTATCTAGTGGATCTCAATGCACCTTGAAAGGTATTGATTATCCATAGGCAATAGACTAGCATATATATCCAGGAATGCTTTGTGCAGAGAGCTCTCCTCGCAAAGCATCATGGGTTTTGTTGTCACAGTGGCCCACCGTCGCTGCCCGACAGCGGCAACTAATAACAACGACGACGCAGGCACCACGAAGTGGAGACGGAGTTACTTGACCAACATGGAGGGAAAAGCAGTGATCATCTGTCCAAACAGTCAGTTAACCAAGTTCACTATAAAATCCTCTGTATAGTCCCCACTCTAGGTAATGAATGAGGGATTTAGGGGTTAGGGTAGACGTTCGGACACACCCAGTATCGCTGCCATCACCGAGCCTCCTGCTATTAGAAACGGCTGGTAACGTACCGGCGAAGAAGTAGTTCCAGTACGGTACGAGGACACAAGTAATCAAGTAATCAAGATTTTTAAGCTAGAAGAACTATGCATGTGTTTTGTTAGTCTATTTTAACAATTTAAAGTAAAACATTATGGAACTATGTAGGGCTGGGTATTGTTCAAAAATTTTCGGTTCCGGTACCACTACCGATACCTTCACTTCGATACCGGTTCCTGAACGATACTTTTTTCGATA